TCACACACACATATATACTTATATAAGTAACACACTATTCTTAATTCTCTATCTCTTTTTGTTTCTAACCTCCAATCAATACAGCAAAAGGTGGCTCGATGAATACACAACATCCAGTGACTGCAACAAGTGAAGCAAGTATAGCATTAGCTATCTCATTAGTGTTGTAGTTCTCATCTCTTTTATATAACTGGACCAATCCTGAGATTACGACTTGAGTCAGTCCGCCTGAAGCAGCTGCTAGGCTCATTGTCAGTGCCGTCCCTCCAACAGCTGCATGATTGGCCTTACCAGCTATGGACTCAGTTGAACCACAGTTGAATGCAAACCTAATAGTAGGTAATGAAAAACTATTGACCATTGAAAAACGCAAACATCATTACATAATTAATGTAGCTAGTATATAAGTTATCTATTTTTCTCCAGTACTTGTTGTTCAGCCTGTGCTGATTATTACAGGCAAGTGTTAACATTTGTAACAGGTGGTGCATCAGTAGTAGCTTTCATTGGATTAGCTCTCATAGTTCTAATGACAATAATGAAGAAACAACTTAAAGGTAAAGAATGTATTATAATGCAGGCAATTAAGGAGAGAATGAAGTAAAAATTGTATTGTGATCATTATGCAACTCTATCATAGTCATATTAGATGGGGAAAATAATCAGAATATCATTCTTGATAAAATTGTTTTCTTTTTTATCTCCACAGCGTCTCCTCCGTTAATAAATCCTCCCACTCCTTCCATTACGCCTCCTCCTTATCAGCTACCTAAAGGAGACGCCCACTCAATTCAAAAACCACGCCAACCGCTCACAACCAGTGAAACAACACCTTTAATTAACAAGATCAAATAAATGAATTTTAACGAGACTGTAGTTGTCAAAAATAATGCGACAATAAGTTATTATTATTTTCATATTTCTTCTTCTCCTTTGTATGTAAACTTATTTTTATCAGTCTCCCAGACAACTACTTTGTATAGGAGGTGCTTGTTTGAACCAAGAGATTTTGTCATTTCTTTCCAAATAAATACAGTGACATTCTCCGTAGTACTAGAAGAGAAAGAGAGGAAGGATATTATATCTATTAGTTGTAAATGACCATTGGAATATAGTGTATAGCGCCATAAATTTGGTCGCATTTAATATTAGTGATTCTATGATTGCAATGTATTGTATTGCAGTATTGGCGGTTTTTATTTTGCAGCCATGTTTTATCATAGATAGTCTACTATCTAATGTTTCATTAATTCATTGAGCATACTCAGAATAAAGCAAAATGGCTGGTGGTACATCATTATTGCCAATTAAATGAATTTCCTGGTGTTCCCGCTATCATGGTAATCACCTAACTATCCTCTGGTCTCTAAAGTAAGGCACATCAAGGTCAATGTTTTTATGATCCAATTGTGCCGTCACAGCAACCTGTGTGTGGGTGGAGCTTATTGTCATGGAAACCAGTAATAACTTACGTCCATTGCTTTCTTTAGTTCTTGTAGATCCATTACCATTCCAGTGGATGGGTCTACCTATTAATAGTAAGGATAATGATGATATGATGATGATGATGATTACTTTTCCTTTAACTGTCACTTCAACTAAACGAGAGAGAGAGAGAGAAAGATGCAAATTAACAAAAAGCAATGTATTTTCAGAGAGTTTTAAATTATAAAATCATGCAAATTTAAACTTACTGCATGAGCTTCTTTAATGTACATATGTATGTTATCTAGATACACTAACCAGTGTAATTGTGACCATGTCCATTAGGATTGTAACATTTACCATACAATGATATATTCTCCTCTTCTGTCAGATGAGAACTAATAAAAGTATATAAAGTTGTACTATTGAGCTATTGTATTGTATTGTATTACCTGCATAGTCTGTGAGCAGCAGATACACTCAGAGATCTACTGAGATAAGCTACTGGACACCTAATCATTGAGAAGCCACACCTTTTGCATAGATATTAAATATCTATGCCTTTTGATATTTATCCAGCCCCACCCAAGTGCGT